ATTGGTTATCAAGAGCTTTTCTTCTTCTATCTTCATGGCTTTAAAAAAATGTTACTATATTTTATTTATTTATTTTTTGGGTCTTTTTGAAACAGGGTCTCCCTTCATCCCCGGCTGGCCAAGAACTCACTCACTATGTGGATTAGGCTGACTTTGAACTCACAGAGATCTTGGTGCCTCTGATTCCCAAGTGCTGGGATTAAAGGCGTGCGCTACCATGTCTGGCAAAAAAAGTGTTATTATATTTTATTTATTTATTTATTTATTTATTTATTTATTTATTCATTTAGTGTGCTTGTGTATATGTGGGCCTATGTTCCACAGCATGAGTGTGCAGGTCAGAGGATAACTTATAAGAGTCAGTTCTTGCCTTCCACCACATGGATCTCAGGAATCGAACCCAGATTGTCAGGCTTGGCTGCAAGTGCCTTTACCCACTGAGCCATCTTGTGGGCCCTGCCTTCAAGGTTTTATCAGTGGATTCCATGTCATTAGAGCTGCACAGTCCAATCTGGTAGCTACTACCCATGCAGCTATTCCATTTTTATTTTTATTTGTCTGCCTGTCTGAATGTCTGTGTCTGTGCCACATGTGTGTAAGTGTCCGGAGGCCAGAAGAGGGTGTTGGACCCCCTAGAACTGGAGTTACCAGTGGTTGTTCACCTCCATGTGGGTGCGGGTCCTGTACAAGAGTAACCAGTGCCCTTAACCACTGAGCCAACTCTCCAGCCTTGGAATTTTTCTTTTTTGTGTAACTGGGATTGAACCTAGGGTCATACATGAGTTCTACCACTGTGCCACATCTGCCGACAGTGAAGGACTTAGGTTTTGGTTTTCAGTTTGTTTTGTGGTTTTGCTTTTTGATGTATTGAAACAGGTAGTAGCTGTACGGGCCTGAAACTCAGTGTCCCTTAGGCTGGCCTTAAATTCCCAGTTTTACCTCCATCTCCTAAGTGCTGGGATGACAGGTATTCACTACCACATGTGACTAGCTATGTATCTATTCATTTATTTTTCATTTTTCTATGCACCTATTGTACAGTGCACTCAGAGGACAGAGGAGGGCGTCAGATCCTGGGGTTATGAGTGCTTGTTAGCTGCCATATGGGAGCTGGAATTTGAACCTGGGTCTTCTGCAAGAACAGTCAGTGCTCTTAACCACTGAGCCATCTCTCCAGCTCTTTTTCTGTATTTTCTTTTTTTGGGTGATTTTTTTTTTTTTTCTTTTTTGGTCTTTTTGAGACAGGGTCTCCCTGTAGCCCCAGCTGTCCTGGAACTCACTGTGTAGACCAGGCTGGCCTTCAACTCACAGAGATCCACCTGCCTCTGCCTCCCAAGTGCTGGCATTAATGGTGTCTATCACCACACACAGCTCTATTATTTTCATTTTTTAACATTTATTAGTTTGTTTATTTACTGATTTATGTGTGTATGCGTGGGCAAGCTTATTTATGTCACAGCTTGTATGTGGAGGTCAGGAGACAACTTGCAAGAGTCGATTTTGGCAGCAGGCTCTTTTAACCACTAAGCCATCTCACTGTTCTCTTCCTTTTTTTATTTGAGGCAGGGTCTTACTCTGTAGTCCATGCTGGACTGAAATGTATTGTGTAGCTGAGCCTGGCTTCAAACTCAAGGCTTCCTTCTCCTGTCAAATGCCCTGCATCCCCCCACCAATGGCATCAAAGACAGGGGAAGGGAAATGCCATAGACTAAAGGAGACCTAAGAAATAACAGGGAGGTTAGCTGGGCATGGTGGCGCACACCTTTAAATCCCAGCACCCAGGAGGCAGAGGCAGGTGGATCTCTGTGAATTCAAGCCTGGCCTGGTCTACATAGCGAGTTCCAGGCCAGCTGAGGCTACAGGGAGACCCTGTCTCAGAACAGAAGGAAGGAAGGGAGGGAGGGAGGGAGGAAGGAGAGAGAGAGAGAGAGGGAGGGAGGAAAGGGAAAAGAGGAGGCGGGGGGAGAGAGAGAGAGAGAGAGAGAGAGAGAGAGAGAGAGAGAGAGAGAAAGAAACAAACTGTATCCATTTCTTAGGACCTCCCAGTACTGCCAAACCCAGATCAGAATCCCCAGAGGGTTGCGCTGAAGAGGAGGACGGGCTCAATCCAGAAAGCCCTGAGCTCCTGGACTTCAGCGTGGACGAGGTGGCGGAGCAGCTGACCCTGATGGACGTGGTGAGACCCCAGACTGTGATGGGCGAGAAGGCAAGGGATGGCTGACGAGGTCGAGCCCCCGCCTTACTTTCCTCTCTCCCACTCAGGAGCTTTTCTCGCGTGTGCGACCCTGCGAGTGCCTGGGCTCGGTGTGGTCCCAGCGGGACCGGCCCGGAGCTGCAGGCGTCTCCCCGACTGTGCGCGCCACTGTGGCCCAGTTCAACGCGGTGACCGGCTGCGTGCTGGGCTCGGTGCTGAGCTCCCCTGGCTTGACGGCGCCGCAGAGGGCGCAGCGCTTAGAGCAATGGATCCGCATTGCGCAAGTGCGTGCTGGGGGCGGGGACAGGGCGAGTTGCCGGGGCCAAGGATCCGAGTGTTCGAGGGCTGGGCTCGGGTGAGTGGGTGGGAGCATGGGGTGGGACCTCCCAGGGCGCGGGGGCGGGCTCGGGTGAGTGGGTGGAACAAAAATTGGGAGGTGGGTGTCAAAGGAAGGCATGGGGCGGGGCCTCGGTTCCAGATCAAACACCAGGTTGGGGTGAGAGGAACCTGAACCTTTGGTGAGAAACTTGGTGAGACTGAAGATGGGAGGCTGCAAGCGGGTGAGATGAGGAGGGAATAAGATTGGAGTGGGTTCCTAAAAGAAACGGAGTGGGACAGGAATCCTCGGACCGGGAGGAAGAGAAATAGGTCAGGAGAAAGAGTAGAGGGACGTGGAGGGGATGGGAGAGGAAAGGAGTATAAAACCGGTACTGGAGCTGGGCGCGGTGGCGCACACCTTTAGTCCCAGCACTCGGGAGTCAGAGACAGGCGGATCTCTGTAAGTTCAAGGCCAGCCTGGTCTACATAGTGAGTTCCAGGACAGTTGGGGCTACAGAGAGACCCTGTCTCAAAAAGACCAAACAAACAAAAAAAAGATACCGAGGGACTTGGATAAAGGATCCTGGGTTCAGGAGAGAGGCTGTAGGGTTCCAGCAGCTAGATAGAAGGAGTAGAGTTTGAAAAGGTTAGAAGGTCAGCCAGAAGGGGCTGAGAGCTGAGGGGAGAAAAAGAGAGGGGCTCTGTGGGGAGAAGGGAGCATCTTAGTTTGTTGCATGTTGGGGGAGACCTCAGAGTCTGACTTGGTGTCAGAAAACCCAGCTTCAAGCCACGTTTGGTGGCACATGCCTCTACTAATCCCAGCAGTGGGTAGGTGGAGGCTTGAGAATGGAAAGCTTGAGGTCAGCATGTAACCAAACAGGACACCACAAAATACAACAATAACAAAGTCACAGTATCAAAGATAGCTGGTGCCTGGGAGCCGTAGTGGAGTGTGACCAGCTGACTACCACCCCCCACCCCCCGCCCCCCAGTGCTGCCGGGACCTGCGGAATTTCTCTTCTTTGCGCGCTATACTGTCTGCCCTGCAGTCCAACGCCATCTACAGGCTCAAGCGCAGCTGGGGGGCTGTAAGCCGGTGAGTCAGGTGGGAAATGGGGTCCATCCCCTATCCTGACTCTGATGGTCCCCACTGCTGACCCCTGACCACATCTCTTTTATCCCCACAGGGAGCCCATGTCCACTTTCAGGAAACTTTCTCAGATTTTTTCTGACGAGGACAACCATCTCAGTAGCCGAGCAGTTGTTTTGCAGGTATTGAACCTCAAATTCAAGAAAGGGACTTGGAACCTGGTGTGGTAGCACATGCCTTTAATCACAGCACCCAGGAGGCAGAGGCAGGTAGGTCTCTGTGAGATGGAGGAAACACTCAGGAGCAGGAGGATTACCATGAGTTTGAGGCCAGCCTGGGCTCCATAGTAACAACACTGCCTTAGAAAAACAAAATAAGTGGGCCGGAGGCCCAGGTCTTTAGTCCCAGCACTTGGGAGGCAGAGGCAGGCAGATCTCTGAGTCCAGCCTGGTCTACATAGCAAGTTCCAGGCCAGCTGGGGCTACTGGAATACCCTATCTCAATAAGTCAAAAAAAAAAAAAAAAAGAAAAGCCAAAACAAACAAAAAAATAAAACGAAAAAAAGCTGGGTGTGGTGGAGCATATGTCTTCCCAGCTCTCAGAAGGCAGAGGCAGGAGGATTACTAAGATATTGGTCAGCTTAGTCTACATAGTGAGTTCCAGGCCAGCCAGGGCTATATAAAAAGATCAGCCTGAGCCATGTGAAACTGTCTCAAAATACCAAAAAGTATAGGGGACTGTGGCTCAGTCTATAAAGAGCTTGCTGCACAAGCATGAAGACCCAAGTTCAGATCCCCAGCACCCACATAAAAGCTGGGTGGCCACCTCTGTAATTCGAGCCTTGAGGGAGACAGAGGCAGGTAGATTACTAGGGCTCACTGGTCAGTCAGTCTAGCAAAAAATGTTGAGTTCCAGGTTCAGTGAGAGACCCTACCTCAAAAATAAGGTGGAGAAGGCAGGGCATGGTGGTCGACATCTTTAATCCCAGCACTCAAGAAGCAGAGAGCAGGGGGGATCTCTGTGAGTTCCAGCCCGGGTAGGGCTGCAGAGTGAGACCCTGTTTCAAAAAGCCAAAAAAATGACTAGAGAGATGGCTTAGTAGTTAAAGAGTATTCACTGGTCTTGCAGAGGACTCAGGCCTGGTTCCCAGCACCTACATGGCAGCACATATACTAAAATTGGAATGATACAGAGAAGGTTAGCATGGCCCCTGCACAAGATGACACGAAAATTCATGAAACATTCCATATTAAAAAAATAAATAAGCCAGGCATGGTAGCGCACAACTTTAATCCCAGCACTTGGGATGCAGAGGCAGGTAGATCTCTGTGAGTTCAGAGCCAGCCTGGTCTACATAGTGAGTTCCAGGACAGCTGCGGCTACAGGGAGACCCTGTCTCAAAAAGACCAATAAATAAATAAATAAATAAATAAATAAATAAATAAATAAATAAAATAAGGTGGAGAACAAAAGAGGAAGATACTTGGTGTTGACCTCTGGCCTACACAAACATACACATGCACGCACACGCACACACACAAGCAATCACACACACATACACACACATCCCCTTCCAGCCTGATTGCCCTTGTTCTTCTCTCCTCCCTATCATGAGTTAGCTTGACTGTCCCCATCTTTCACACAAATGTCTAGAAAGTTTGTCTTTTTTGGTCACCTCTTTCTAGCACCCAAAACAGTGCAGGACAACACAGTAAGTTGAGTCATCTCACTGGCTTGCCACAATAAATTCAATAAATATCTTGTGGAGAACCAGTGAGATGGCTCAGTGGATTTAGGTACTTACTGCCAAGCATGACAATCTGAGTTTGATCCCCAGAACCTACAGGGTAGAAGGAGAGAACACACTTGAGCAAGTTGACCTCTGACCTGCACGTGCACACACTGTGGGGTACAGGAGGCCATTCACACACCTAAATACATAAAGTGTAACAAACACACTGGGCACAGGGGTTTATGCCTTTAATCCCAGCACTCAGGAGGTAGAGGTAGAAAGATCAGGAGTTCAAGGTCACCCTTGACTACAAAGCAACTTTGAGGTCAGCCTAGACTACATGACACCCTGTCTCAAAAAGAAAAAAGTTCCTTGTTAATAGCAAGGTGTGGTAACTTACATCTGTAAGCCTAGCATTTGGGAGGCAGAGGCAAAAAGATCACAAATTTGCAGCCAACGAGAGCTACATAGTGAGACCGTGTCTCAAAAACAAACACCCTAAAACAAGGGGCTGAGAGAGATGGCTCAGTGGTTAAGAGTGCTTGCTGCTGGCTTGGCATGGTGGCACATGTACCATGGGATCAGCACTTAGGAGGCAGAGGCAGGCAGATGTCTGTGAGATCAAGACCAGCCTTGTCTATATAGTGAGTTCCAGGCCAGCTGGGGATATAGGGAGACCCTGTCCGAAAAAAAAAAAAAAAGTGCTTGCTATTCCAGATGACTCTCTTTGGGTCTCAGCACCCACATCAGGCACCTCTTCCTGTAACTCCTGCTTCAGGGGATCCAACACTCTCTTCTGGCCTTTGAGGGCATTGCATGCACATGTATACATCCACACATACAGACCTATAAATTAAAAAAACAAACTTGTTAGTGACAATGTGTCTCAAATTGAGAGGGCTCAAGGACAAAATGCTCACCTACTGTGTGCCAGGCATACTGTGTTACTGATCCACCACCAGCCAGACACATTCCTACCCTGAATGGAACTCCAACCCAGACAGAAACACAGCACAGTAGTTTCTCAGAAGTTGTAAAATTACTGTCTGGACAACACCTTGAAAGAGTTCAGGGTCTTCCAGGAGACCCTAGATGGCCTATTCTCCCTAGGCTGAGGACAAAGTTTTCTTCTCATCTTGGGTGGAGGGAGCTCCCTATACTGGATTTCTTCTCAACCTCCAGGGTTTCATTGCTCCCAGGTAGCTCCACATCCATCTTTGCATTAACACTCTACCTGTGATTCTTTTGTTTTGTTTTTTTTCTTTCTTTCCTTTTTTTTTTTTTTCTTTTTTGAGACAGGATCTCTCTGTAGCCCCAGCTGTCCTGGAACTCACGATGTAGACTAGGCTGGCCTTGAACTCACAGAGATCTGCCTGCCTCAGCCTCCCAAGTGCTGGGATTTTGTTTTGATACCCTGCTAAGAGTGGCCTTTAACTTCTGATGCTCCTGACTCTCCCTAGACCTCTGGGATAACAGGCTTCCACCACCATCAGTTTACACAGTGCTGGGGATGGAGCCAAGGGCTTTTGCAAGCTAGCCAAACCTTCTACGAACTGAACTATATATAGACCCAACCCCTGGCTTATGTGATTTTTAAAAATTTTTTGAATTATTATTATTATTATTATTTTGGTCTTTTTGAGACAGGGTCTCCCTGTAGCTCCAGCTGTCCTGGAACTCACTATGTAGACCAAGCTAGCCTTGAACTCACAGAGATCCGCCTGCCTCTGCCTCCCAAGTGCTGGGATTAAAGGCGTGCACTGCCACACCCGGCTTTTTTTGAATTATTTTTATTTTAGGGAGAACTGGCACAGGAGTTAAGAGTACATGCAGCTCTTTTAGAGGACCTGGGTTAGGTTCCCAGCACCCACATGGAGGCTAACAACTGTCAGTTTCTGGGGACCTAGCAACATCCTCTTCTGGCCTCCATGAGCATTGTATACATGGGTGCAGGCAAAACAGTCATACAACATAAAAACAAATGTTTAATTCATTTATTTGTGTATGGGGGGTTGCTCATGCCACAGTGTGCTTGTAGAAGTCAGAGGACAGCTTGTAGAAGTCAATTCTCTCCATGTGGTTCCAGGGATGGAACTCAGGTTGTCAGATTTGGTGGCAAGTGCCTTTACCCACTAAGCCATCTTGTCAAATGGCTTAAAATATTTTTAAAATATTTTATTTATTATTTTTTATTTTATGTATATTGCCTACATGTATGTAAGTGCACTTGTGTTATGCAATGCCCATGGAGGTCAGAAGAGGGCAACAGATTACCCTGGAACTGGACTTATGGACAGTTCTTAGCCCACATATGGGTGCTGGGAATTGAACCCAGGTTCTTTGCAAGAGCAGCCAGTACTCTTAACCTCTGAGCCATCTCTACAGTCTGCTGGATTATGACTTTTGAAAGCTACATGGATTCACATAGATGGTGGGTGTTGATGTAGCCTTTATGTGGAGGGGTGAAGGGGGTCCTGGGTCCTCAGGTTCGTTCAGTCCTTCTCTTCCTCCCAGGAGGAGACCATGGAGGGATCTCAAAATGATGACAGCTTACCAGGATGTCTACCATCAGTGAGTGACATGATTAATGACTGGGGAGTTGGCAAGGGGGACCCTTGCACAGGGGTATGGAAGATGATGGGTGTCAGTGATGCCCAGGAATAACTGACACTTTGCGGGGGCTGCAGATACTGCCCCCAGGTCCTGTCCCCTACCTTGGCACGTTTCTCACGGATTTGATTATGCTGGACACAGCCCTACCGGATATGTTGAAGGTTTGACCCCTGACCCATGACTCCTGACCCCAGCTTTACTTCCCATCGACATAGCAGTCCTCCAGACTTCCACCTGTGATCCTGCCTCGCAAACCATTACCCCACCCAAGTGGTGGCTCATGTCATCCCAGCTCTTTGCTGTAAACTTTGACCCTTGACCCCTGGAAGCTATAACTCAGACAAGTTTGCCCCCACCCCCTCCAGGGAGATCTCATCAATTTTGAAAAGAGGAGGAAGGTGAGTGGGTACTGGGAGGGGAGGGTTGGCCAAGAGTGAGACTCAGGGTAAGATGGGGTCTCATTGGATATTCCCCTCCCCAGGAGTGGGAAATCCTGGCAAAAATCCAGCAGCTACAGCAACGCTGCCAGAACTACAACCTGAGACCCCGCCCATCCATCCTGGCCGCCCTTCAAGCCCAGAGACAGCTCAGTGAGGAGCAGAGGTGACCACTCAGACCCCAGCCAACTCCTTCCCCTTCTAGCAATTCCTAAGCCCCTGGACTGAGCACAGCCCCCACCTCTCCTGCCTGAAGGCCACCATCTATTTCCAACCCCAAATTTGATGCCATCCTACACTCCGAACTTCAAACTTTGACAGCCAATTGACCATTCAACTTGAATGTCTCTATTCTCTTCCGGATTTCTGATCCCCTCTGACCTGTAACCTCCGCCATTGGAATCTGTGACCCTAGTCATGGACCACTAGTCTGAGTTATTGACTCTAGCTTTGATGTTCACTTGACCATTCAACTCAAGTAGCCCTATTATTACTCTATCCAATCCCCCAAATTACCTGGCTGGTCCTGAATTTTAAGCATGGCCCAAATCAACTCCTTAATCTCACCTTGTAGTTTTTGTTTGGTTTTGTGTTTGCAGTGCTAGCCAATGGCCTCATGTATGTCACACCCCCAGTTAGTCTCACCCTATAAATTCTTATGTGACCACTCACCAAACTTTCCTTCTCATCTGTAACATACCCCGATGTCCCCCTGATTCCCATTTCTATCCTGACCATGACTCTAACCCTCCTCCTTCCTTTCCAATTCATTCTTCTTCTTCTTTTTTTTTTTTTTTTTTTTTTCTTTTTGAGACAGGGTCTCCCTGTAGTCACAGCTGGCCTGGCTGGCCTGAAACTTGCTTGCTACATAGACCAGGCAGGCCTCCAGCCCACAGAGACCCACTTGCCCCTGCTTCCCCAAGTGCTGGGATTAAAGGCATACACCACCACACTTGGCTTTCACAACTTAGTCTCTTACCTCTTCATCACTCGCATTGCTTCCTATCTCCAATCTTCTTCCCCACTAAATCCCTCCAGCTATCGTGTCTCCCGTGTTATTGAGCCACCAGCTGCCTCCTGTCCCAGCTCCCCTAGAATCTTCCGGCGCATCAGCCTCACAAAGCGCCTCAGTGTGTGAGTATCAGGGTGTGTGCTGGGGTATGTGGGCAGAGATTGGGGGTTTCTTCTCCTGGATCTAAATCACCCCCTTGTCCTCCTTGTAGGAAGCTGTCCCGTGAGAAGAACTCATCCCCTGGTGGGAGTCCCGGAGATCCCTTCTCACCCACCTCCAGGTTAGTATCCTGAGGATAAGGGAACTAGACACAGCAGGACCAAAAGTCAAGCCAGCCACCTGACCTTGAACTCTTGTGTTTCCCCCAGTCTGTCCCCAGGGTCCCCCCCATCCAGCCCTAGAAGCAGAGACCCTCCTCCTGGCAGTCCTCCAGCCTCCCCAGGGTTCCAGGGCCCCAGCACCAAGGTACCAAGATGGTCTGTACTTGTGTTGAGGGCTTTGGGCACCCAGGGCTTTGTTTTTATATGTGCATGTGTGCACATGCATGTGTGTTTGTGTACACAGGCACTTGCACATATGTACAGCATGGCAGGCAGGGACTAAAGAGACTGTTTGAGGTCTCTGGGTTCCATCTGGGACACTGCATCTCCATAGCCATTTGAGTGATCACCCACCATCCTGGCTTCTCTTGAGATCTGCACTTGAGTTTTGACCTATCTGCAGGGCACAGCAGGGCATGATCTTTGTTGGTTTTTGTTCTGTTTTGTTTTGAAATTTTTTTTTTTTTGGTCTTTTTGAGACAGGGTCTCCCTATGGCCCCAGCTGTCCTGGAACTCACTAAGTAGACCAGGCTGGTCTTGAACTCACAGAGATCTGCCTGCCTCTGCCTCCCAAGTGCTGGGATTAAAGGCGTGCGCCACCACACCTGGCTTGTTTTGCTTTTTAATTTCCCCTAATAAAGAGTACTCCAACCAGGTGTGGTGGTGCAGGCCTGTAATCCCAGCACTTGGGAAATGGAGGCAAGAGGACTAGATGTTCAAAGCCATCCTCCACTACATAATAGGCACTAGGCCAGCCTAATGACATGACATCCTGTCTCAGAAAATCAAAAAAGTGCTACGATTGAACCTAAGTCTTCACAGGGGCTCTATTAATGAGCCATGCTCCTAGCCCCTCACTGGGGGAGTCTAGGCTGGCACTCTACCTCTGAGCCACTGCCAACCCCTCACTGGAGAATTCTAGGTCAGTGCTGATGGACATGCCCCCAGCCCTTTTCTTACTTTTTGTTTATTTGTTTGAGCCAGGGTCTCCCTATAGCCACAGCTATCCTGGAACTTGCTGTGTAGACCAGGCTGGCCTTGATCTCATAGAGATCTACCTACCTCTGCCTCTGGAGTGCTGGGATTAAAGACGTGCTCCTTTTCTTAGCTTTTATTTTCAGAGTCTCACTAAGTTGCTCAGGCTAGCATTGAACTTGTGGTCCTTCTGGGGTGACAGGTTCTTCAAGGACATACATGTCCCTAGGAGTCTGTATACATAACAGGAAGATGGCCCGAACACCTTCAGGACTATGTGTAGGGTTGTTCCCTGACAACCATAAACACACGTGTGTGAATACACTGTGTTCTGTATACTTGGGATCTGTGTTGTGAACATGACTTTGTGTGTATATGAGTTGTGTGTCCATTTATTTCTGTCACAGGGAATTGAGGATTGTAGATGATGGGATACCATAAACTTACCTTAACTGTATGATCCCAGGGCTTTGTGTGTCTTGGAAGTATGTGTGGGGTGTGGGAGCTCTGGGCATATTCTTGAGTGTTCACCAGCTGATTGAATATAGCAACTGGGGAGGGGCCTCACAGTCCCCACCCCACAGTGCCTGCAGATAAGCAAAGCTTCAGCCTCTATCCCCCAACTGCCTACAGCTGCTGCTGAACATGGACCCACCAGGCCCCCGGCCCCTGACCTTGACCCTGAGCAGCCCTCGAATCCCTCTCCCAAGGCAGCAGAGCCCAGAGGCCTGCGTGATCCGAGTCAGCATTGCCAATGACCATGGGAACCTGTATCGGAGCATCTTGGTGAGGGGCCAAGAGGGAAGGAACACCTTGTCTTTAAAGTTGGGGCCCTGTTCTTTTACCTCCTGTCCAACCTTTTCAAAAATTTTGTTTATCTTTATTTTATGTGTATGAGTGTTTTTCCTGCATGTATGTAAGTGTACTACATGTGTACAATGCCCACAGAGACCAGAAAATGGTGTCCAATTCCCTGGAACTGGAGTTACAGATGATTATTAGCTGCCATGTGGATGCAGGGACCTGAGCCTGGGTTCTTTGCAAGTTCAGTCAGTGCTCTTAACTGCTGAGCCAGCTCACCAGTCCACTCTTTACTTTTAGTTTTTAATTACATTTATTATCATTGGGGGATGCCATGTGCCACGATATGTGTGTGTGTGTGTGTGTGTGTGTGTGTGTATGTATGTGTGTGTATGCCTGCGCACAAGTAGGTAGGAGGACAACTTTCAAGAGTTGGTTCTCTCCTTCCACTATGTGGGTCCCAGAGATTGAACTCGAAGTCATCAGGCTTAGTGGCAAACTCCTTTACCCACTGAGCCATCTCTCCAGCTCCTTTCTGTCCCTCTTTTCCAGCTTACTTGTCAGGACAAAGTCCCCAGTGTGATACAGAGAGCCCTGGAGAAACACAATGTGCCCCAGCCCTGGGCCCGTGACTACCAGCTCTTCCAGGTCCTGCCTGGGAACAGAGGTAAGCAGGTACAGCTTGGAGGGTTGGGGGCATTTGGGAGACTGGGAGTCTGACCAATGTCAAGGATAGAGTCCATCTTTTCTTGTTGCTGTGACAAAATACCCAACAAAAGCAATTTAAGGGATGAAGGGTTTATTTGGGCTTATAGCTTAAGGGTTACAGTCCATTGTGGTGGGGAGGGCATGAAGGGAGGATCTTGAAGCAGCTGGTCACATTGTCCCCACAATCAGGAAGCAGAGGGAGGTGGATGCTGGTGCTTAGCTTGTTTTTTTTTAACGTCCCCCCGCCCCCCAGTGTGATGTGCATGGCTTTAATCCCAGCACTCGAGAGACAGGAGCAGGTGGACCTCTATGAGATCAAAGCCAGCCTAGTCTATATAATGACCAGGACTATATAGTGAGACCATGTCTCAAAAAACTTTTTTTTCTTCAGTTTATTTTATTTGATTGGGGTAGGGGGAGGTATACACCTGCCGCAGCACATGTGTGGCGTCAGAGGACAACTTAAGGAAGTTGATTCTCTTTCTAACATGTAGATTCTAGGAATTAAACTCGGGTCACCAGACCTAGCAGCAAGTGCCTTTACCCACTGAGCTATCTTACCTGCCTTTCATTTCTCACTCTCTTTTCTAAAAAATTTTATTTATTATTTTGATTTTTTTTAATGTATATGTGTATACTGCCTGCATGTACATGCACCTGTGTAGTGCAATGCCCACAGAGGTCAGAAGAGGGCATCAGATCCCCTGGAACTGGAGTTAAGGACAGTTGTTAGCTGCCATGTGGGTGCTAGGATTCGAACACAGGTCTTCTGCGAGAACATTCACAGACATTCTTAACCACTGAGCCATCTCTCCAGCACCCTCTCTTTTTATTTTTTAAAGACAGAATCTCTGTGTAGCCCCAGCTGACCTGGAATTCATTATATAAACCAGGCTGGCCTTGAACTCACAAAGATTTGCCTGCCTCTGCCTCCCAAGTGCTTGAATTAAAGGCATGCCTTATATATTTTTTAAAAAGGATTTATTGGGGCTGGAGAGATGGCTCAATGGTTAAGAGCACTGACTGGTCTTGCAGAGGACCTGGGTTCAATTCCCAGCACCCACATGGCAGCTAACAACTGTCTGTAACTCCAGTTCCAGGGAATCCTTCTGACCTATGTGGGTATTGTATGACATAGGTATACTTACATGCAGGCAATACACTCATACATGTAAAATAAGAATAATAATTTTTATTAGCCAGCATGATGTCACATGTCTTTAATTCCAGCACTCGGAGTCAGAGGCAAGCAGATCTCTGTGAGTTCAAAGCCAGCCTGGTCTATATATCGAGTTCCAGGCCAGCTGGGGCTCAGTTAGTAGAGTGTGTACCATGAATGCATTTGGACCTGAACTGGATCACCAGAACCCACATAAAAAAAGCCAGATACAGAGCTGGGCGTGGTGATGCACACCTGTAGTCCCAGCACTTGGGAGGCAGAGGCAGGCAGATCTCTGTGAGTTCAAGACCAGCCTGGTCTACATAGTGAATTCCAGGACAGCTAGGGCTACAGAGAGACCCTGTCTCAAAAAGACAAAAAACAAAAAAGACAAATTAAAAAAAAAAAAAGCCAGATACAGTGGTGTGAGCTGCTCATCACAGTGCTGGGCATGCAGAGACAGGTGGATCCCTGGAGCTCTCTGGCCAGCCAGCCTATTCTACTTGAATTCCAGGACAGTGAGGAATCCTGTCTCAAAGAAACAAGTGTGGGTATGCCCGCTCTAAGGGACAACACCTGTGAGGCTGTTGCTCTTTGACCTCCAGTTGTACATGTACACACAGGTGCACACACACAGAAGCATATATGAGAGGCTGGTTATGGTGGTGCAGGCTTGTAATCCCAGTACTAGGGAGGCTGAACCCAGCCTGGGCTACAGAGTAAATTCACAGCCATTCTGTTCAATTTAGTAAGCTCTTGTCTTAAAGATATACAAAGAGCTAAGGGTTGCTGGGAGTGGTGGCACAAGTCTGATATCCTAACTACTCAAGAGGCTGAGGCAAGAGGATTCCTTCCTGGATCCAGGTATGGTGGCTCACACCTATAATCCCAGCACTAGGGAGACTGAGGCAGGAGGATTGCCATGAGTTAACGGCCGTCCTAAACTACAGAGTGAGTTTCGGCCCACCCTGTCTCAAAAAAGAGGGCTGTCGATGTAGCTCAGTTGGTGGAGCACTTGTCTAACATGCAGGAAACCCTGGATTTGACCCCAGTGTGGTAGTGCACACCTGTAATCCCAGTTCAGGAGGTGGGGCAAGAGTTCAAGGCCTATGAATTGGAGATCAATCTGGGCTACAAGAGATTCTGTCATGGACACACAAACACACCCACACTCACCACCACTTCCAACAACAATAACAAAAACCAAAAGAAAACTGAGGGCTGGGAAGTAGCTTAGTGATGGACTGCTTCCCTACCTTATGCAAGGCCCTGGATTCAATCACCAGTACCTCTGGGAGTGTAGTAGTTCAATGGTGTACTTACCTAGTATGTGTAAGGCTGGATTCAATCTCCGCTACCAGTGGAAAAATATATCATCAAGGTATGTATATATGAGATATACATGCATATATGGTATTACATGAGGTTTATATATACATTAGGTATATATATATATATGGGAGGTACTACATGCAGTAATATACTTGAGGTATTAGATGAAGCATATATATATGAGGTTTTGGTTTGGTTTGTTCTTTTTTAAAAATTATTTATTATTTTTATTTTACGTGTATGAGTGTATTGCCTGCATGTGTATAAGTGCACCCATGTCATACAATGTCCATGGAGGACAGAAGAGGCTGTTGAATTGCCTGGAACTAGAGTTATGGACAGTGGTTAGTTGCCATGTGGGTACTGGGATTCAAACCGAGGTCCTTTGCAAGAACAACCGCTGAGCCGTCTCTCTAGCCCTGTTGGTTTGGTCTTTTTGAGATGGGGTCTCCCTGTAGCCTCAGCAGGCCTGGAATTCACCATGTAGATCAGGCTGGCCTCAGTCTCACAGAGCCCTGCCTGCCTCTGCCTCCTGAGTGCTGGGATTACAGGTGTGTACCACCACATCCACACCCAACATAATCAGGTTTTATGAGATTATATATATAATATATCATACAAGGTATATATGCATGAGTTGTGTATAAATGAGATATTATATGAAGCATGTATATATGAGGTATTTTATGAGTTATATATACATGAGGTATCTACATTTTATATATATA